ATATCAGATTTTACAAATTAAAGGTGGATATCTTATCATTATTTTGATTACATATTCTTTACTGGTCTATACCACTTTGGTACATAAGGTTCTCTCTCTGTGATTAATATATCCATAGTTTTAAATAAAAGAGTGTGAGTTCTTCTGCCCCTTACTGAATTTCTTTTTTTAATATATTTTTATTGATTTCAGAGAGGAAGGGAGAGGGAAAGAGAGATAGAAATATCAATGATGAGTAAAAATCATTGACCGGCTGCCTCCTGCACACCCTGTACTGGGGATTGAACCTGCAACCTGGGCGTGTGCCCTTGTCCAGAATTGAACCTGGGACCTTTCAGTCCATAGACCAATGCTCTAGCCACTCAGCCAAACCAGCTAGGGCCCCTTACAGAATTTCTGAGCTGACACAATGGGCCCAGAGCTATGTGGCAGGCACTTCCTGTAGCTCAGCACAACTCAGCATCAGTTGGGAAGGTGAATAGCTAGAAACCGGGGGGAGTTGAACAGAGTGGGATGTAACTGCTGGACAGCTTTCCTAAAACTCCTGAATCTCACCTGGGTAATTTTGTTACTTTCTCTATTGTGCATGTCCACAAGTAAGGTATATCAATGCTTGTGTGTATGCAGTGCCAAATAAAAATCTTATCCCTGTGCTATTGACTTCTCCTTTAGCCCAGGTTCTCTTTATGCGTTTGGTCATCTTAGTCTAATGAATAACCAAACAGCATAATCATTAGTATTTTTTGAAGTTATTTTAAATAATACTCACCAAAATAACATAAAGAAGATGAACTTTGATCACACATTCTAGATGTGCACTTTCCCAGGTGTGCACTTTTTAAAATGCATTTTCTAATAGACCCTAGATAGCCACTCTTACATTTGGTGGACTCTGTAATGTCCTACTGCCTCCTCCAGGGAGTTATAAGGCAGTGTGTCTTCACCCTGAGAAGTCATTGCTATAGTATTCTATCAAATGGCTTTTAGAGGAATTAGAGAGGATTGTGTATTTCTCCAAAGCATTATTTTTAAATCCACACTACCAAAACCATTTAGTATTGGAAATGGGCCACAGCATTCCTTCACTCCTGCTCGTCCTCGATCCAGCCCCTGCCCCTGTTCTCCAGATGAGGAAATGGACACATACACTGCATAACCAAAGAAATGCTAGTGGTAGGATCAAGCAAGGATTATCAGGGTGACCAATGTCTAGATACATATTTTGTCTTTCAAATTAAATTTAAATTAATTTTAAAATTATAAATTGAATTACCAGCAACCAGTGCTAAAACATTTATGATTATGTTTATTTGATAGATTTTTAAAGCACATGGAATAAGAGAACTATTTTCATCATCCATCTTTACTGCAATATTCTGCTGTTGAAAATTTTATCTGACCACAAGGTGGCAGCAGTACAACCCACTAGGAGACTAGGGGATGAAATACAAAAGACCTATGCAGTTTTCATTGTATACTAGCCAGGTTCTGCTTATAAATCAGACAGTCTGTAGCTATTTGCAATATTCCTGAAACACGTTCTCCCTTCATATAATTTATTCATGAGCTTGAATAGCATCCTGTGAAAAAATTTTTTGAGGTAGGTGGTAAGAGCACTGTTATTCTCATACAAAAGATACCCTTACCGTAAACACTCAAAGAACATTTTCCTCTGTGACGTGGCCACAGAAGGGTACCAAATAGAAATACAGATAAGGGCAAGCCCATAAGCTGACAGACTGCCAATCAGTGGGGTCTTTGTCATGTGGAACAAAAAGCTTTAGAGAAAAAAAGTCACATAGAAACGGTCGGTAATTAGATTGGATTCAAACTTCTCAACAGCTAGGACACCATATCAGTGATGGCGAACCTTTTGAGCTCGGCGTGTCAGCATTTTGAAAAACCCTAACTTAACTCTGGTGCCGTGTCACATATAGAAATTTTTTGATATTTGCAACCATAGTAAAACAAAGACATATTTTTTATATTTATTTTATATATTTAAATGCCATTTAACAAAGAAAAATCAACCAAAAAAATGAGTTCGTGTGTCACCTCTGACATGCGTGTCATAGGTTCGCCATCACTGCCATAGATAAATGTTTTTCAAATACTAAAGAAAAATTACTTTCAACACAGAATTCTATATCCAGCCAAATTTTGAATCAAGTATCAAGATTAAATAAAAATATTTTTAGACAAATAAGGCCCCAAACTTTTTTCTATGCTCAATAAGCTATTAGAGCAGCGGTTCTCAACCTGTGGGTCTCCAACCTGTGGGTCGCGACCCCTTTGGGGGTCGAATGACCCTTTCACAGGGGTCGCCTAAGACCATCGGAAAACACATATATAATTACATACTGTTTTTGTGATTAATCACTATGCTTTAATTATGTTCAATTTGTAACAATGAAAATACATCCTGCATATCAGATATTTACGATTCATAACAGTAGCAAAATTACAGTTATGAAGTGGCAACGAAAATAATTTTATGGTTGGGGGTCACCACAACATGAGGAACTGTATTAAAGGGTCGTGGCATTAGGAAGGTTGAGAACCACTGTATTAGAGGATTGCTCCACAAAAACAAGGACAGAAACCAGGAGAATGGGCCCAGAAAAGCATTGAATGAAGCATCCAAGATGATAAAGAGCTCAGGATGGGACAACTGTGCACTGGGTGTCTAGGGCAACCAAACCAGAGACACAAAAGAGGGACGTATCTATACTGTCTGCTGCCATATCTCCTGTCACCAAGACTTCATTTTCATTTTTGGAACTGGAGTATGTGCCCCAAATAAACAAAGGAGGAAATAAAGACAGAGGATGGCATCCAAGAGACAGACCCCAACTCAAAAGGAAAACAGCCCTGGGTGGCAGTGAAGGGAAGTCCGACAGCTGTGCGGGAAACCTAGTCAGCTCTACAGAGGACCATGGGAGGCTCTGGCCAGATAGCGACGAGAAAATAATGGGAACGTGGATTATCATATCATCGACGCTGTGGAAAACTGTACTAGTAGGTTATAGGATAGTGTGGGAAGGTTTGACAAGAATGAAGCAAATGCAAAAAGACAATTACTAACTTTGAAGAGGAAAAGTGAGAAAGGAAATATTATCGAAGTGTACTATGGCCCGGCCAGCATGGCTCAGTGGTTGAGCGTCGACTTATGAACCAGGAGGTCACTGTTCAATGACCGGTCAGGGCACATTCCCAGGTTGTGGACTCAGTCCCCAGTAGGGGGCGTGCAGGAGGTGGCCAATCTATGATTCTCTTTCATCATTGATGTTTCTATCTCTCTCTCCTCTCCCTTCCTCCCTGAAATCAATAAAAATATTTTTCAAAAAACTATACCACAACGCACAGTTTTGTATAATGTTTGCATGGGGATACTAATGTAGTCACCAAATACTGATTAACAAAAATTTTTATTATATTGGGAGTTTACAAGAAGCAGAGAGGATGACTGTAAGAGTTAAATTATTTTTTAAAAAATCTGTATTTTTATTGATTTCAGAGAGGAAAGGAGAGGGAGAGAGAGATAGAAACATCAATGATGAAAGAGAATCAATCACTGATCAGCTGCCTCCGGCACACCCCACACTGGAGCTCAAGCCTGCAACCCAGGCATGTGACCTGACCTGGAATTGAACGGTGACCCCATGGTTCATAGGTTGACACTCAACCACTGAGCACGCTGGCTGGGCTAAGAGTTAAATTCTTATTACTATACAAAGATGTCCATAGGATCTAAAATGAGTCAATCAAAGTAAGCCATTTTTATATATACTATTGATATATGGAGAAGTGAAAATCCTAAAGCAACAGCTAAAAGCACTAAAAAGAGGGTTGTATCTTAGGGGTTATTGTGAAAAGGGTAAGGCAGAGAATCACTGTACTTTGTTTTAAACTTTTTAATATAATTTGTCATTTTTAAACTATAGGTTTGTCTAACTCTGTTTAAAAAAGGGACTTAAAAACGCACCTAACAATGTGTTTGACAAAGTGGATCTGATTAATAACAGTAATAGCAAACTGATCACATTACTTTTATATCTTGTTTTTTCTCGGCCCAAGGAAACCGTGACATGAAATCATCCAATGTGTCCACGATAGCATCAACTTGACATTGTTCCAGTTCTGTTTTTCCAGCCAAATCTGTAGAATAGAGAGAGGCCCACAAATATGTTCAACTTAATTTACTATATTAAAACATTAATTTTTTTAGAAGGCAATAGATTCATATAGCTCAAAAATTCAAAATAACAGAAAACGATATCCAATGAAGAGTAACTTCCACTCTTGCCCCTATCCATCTTATTTTGCTGTTACCAACTACCATATTTTTTATTAATTTGTTTTATTAATTTCTTTTATATTCTTTCATTGTTTCTTTATGAAAATAAGAGTGATTTTCCACTCAATATGTGCCTCTCCCATTTGTCCCAGTGATTTTTCCTCACGTGTCACTTAAGGGCGTCCTTGCTCTGTTTTCAGCTCCATGGAACTTCCTTCAGTAGAAGTGCCACATTCTATTTACCCTCAGCTGATTAGGTTTGCTCTCAATCTTTTGCTAATACAAGCAATACCACAATAAATAACCAGTATATATATATATTTCATTTATTTTGCAAAAAGAATTATTTTCATTTTTGCAGGCAGTTTTCGTCCAGAGCATTTGTTCCTAGAAACTCTAAGTTTAAAATGATAGAGGTGGGTTTTTTTCTTTTATTTATCATCATTTTGCTAAGAAATCATTGGTCTTTCTAAATATATTCTCCCTGGTGTCAATTTAAAATTCTTCAGTGTAAAAGCATTCTAAAATAGATTGCTTTTATACAATTGTGTGTATTTACTAAAAATCGAGGAACAGTATACTGACAGTGAGTAAATTGTATATAAATCATATCTCAGCAAGCTGTTAACGGGAAAGAAAGAAATGCCTTAGTGATTTAGGGTCCTTCTGTAAACTATATCGTGTGTGTGTGGTATTGGCACCGTCGTAATAACTTGGTTATTATTTAACAGGAAAGGAGTAAAGGGGAGACTAGATAATATAGGCATGCCATTTATACAGCTTTGGCAAAAAGCTACAGTTTAACACCCTTCAAGTCTGTTTCCTACTGATTGATGGGGGAAGGGGCTGGACAAAGGCAGTTTAGACACATGCCCAGTAAGATCTGAGTAACATAGAAAGGTGCCTACCTGTCTCCCAGTCACACCTGGAAACAAATGAGTGGCCGGGATGGGTGTGGCCACTGCAAGTGCCTGAAACCTGAATATTTAAACTTCTAGAGCAGCTGTGGGCAAACTACTGCCCGCGGGCCGGATCCGCCCGTTTGAAATGAATAAAACTAAAAAAAAAAAAGACCGTACCCTTTTATGTAATGATGTTTACTTTGAATTTATATTAGTTCACACAAACACTCCATCCATGCTTTTGTTCCGGCCCTCCGGTCCAGTTTAAGAACCCATTGTGGCCCTCGAGTCAGAAAGTTTGCCCACCCCTGGTCTAGACAAAGGAGCATACTCTTCTCTTGAGTGCTTGCCTGGGCCCCTGACTCCTGCTGCAGGGGGTTGCGCTCCCCTTCACCCACGTGACTCAGGGCCACGTGGGACTCCACACAGTGAACTCATGGACTTCAATTAGCTTGGATGCTGAACTGTACTCAGCTGCAACATGGAACGGAAGCTCTGCACACGGCTTGCTTTTGGCTTTGCTGAACCCACAGCTGCCCCTCTTTCAGGACTTGGTTAAGGGGGATGGGACTTTAAAACCTGAGGCATGTGAATCCATGCAAACAAAGCCGTTTACCACATCTCATTCTCCCGTGGGGGCTTCTGAAAATTCTTATTTAAGTGCTAACCCCACTCCCAAGAGCTAGGGAGGAATTAGATTCTCTGGCAACAGTTTTCAGAGGTTGATTCTTCTTTCTGCCCTTGAAAAGTCCTTCCAGGATGGGTGTGGGTTGGAGGGGGTCAATGGGGGAAAAAGGGTGGCATCTGTAATGCTTTCAACAATAAAGATAAATTTAATAAAAAGAAAAGTCCTTTCAAATACATCATTTTCATCCCTACTTTGAATTCCATGTTCAAGGCTTTGGTTATCAATTTTATTCAGATGACTCCTTATCAATACTTTTAGTCCTAAAGACCAGGCCCTACGCTCAGCTTCCTTTTGGATTGTTTGCTGCGTATCCTTTTGGCCTCCCAAACTTCCTTCAACAAATCCCAAAATGGAGTCATCACATTCTACCTCAAACCAGCTCTTCCCTCTTCATTCATTCAACAGATAATTACTGGGCTCCAACTGTAGATCAACCCCAACTAGGGCTACAGCAATAAACAAACAAACAAACAAACAAAAAATTTCTTGTCTGCGTGTCACTCATGGTCTTCTAGAGAAGACAGACATTGAAAGGGATATTGCTAGTCAATGCCTGGCCCTTACTCCCTTGTTCAAATATGCTGCCCTCCACATGCCATTATCTATTTTCTAGTCCATATGATGATGATTCTATCTCCACAACATTTCTTGTTGTTGTCTTTTTTCTCACTCCTTCTTTCCTGTTGCTGTCTGAACTATTTTAATGACATCTAAATGTGCATCCCTCAGTCAGGCTAATTAAATACAAAGTATGGCCAGAATAATCTCCCCAAAGTCATAACTATCGTTATGTAGCTTTCTGGGTAAAAACATACAAATGAAGTCAGGCAGAGAAAGATAAATAATGTATGCTCTCACTTATAGGTAGAATTTTAAAAAACAAAACTAAACTAAACTTAATATAATATAGATTGATTATTGGCAGGGGGAGGGAGGAGTGTGGGCTGGGTGAAATGGGTACAAGTAGTCAAAAGGTACAAATTCCTGGGGATATAATGTATAGCATGGCGACTATCGTATATAATAAAAGGGTAATATGCAAATTGACCCTAACAGCAGAATGACTGGGAATGACTGGTCACTATGACACACACTGACCACCAGGGGGCAGACGCTCAATGCAGGAGATGCCCCCTGGTGGTCAGTGTGCTC